TTTTCTTAGGGAACAATTTTATAATACTTACTAAGAAACAAGCACAGTTCTAAGTTTTTTCATTACAATAGCATTATAAGTAAGGGTCTATTATCCACATTTTACAGATGAGGAAATTGAAGCATGGAAATGAAATAACTTGCCCAAAATCATACGGCTAGAAAATTGCAGAGCTGGGATATGAACCACCAGTTGGTCTGGCTTACTTACCATACTATACTGCCTTCTCTCTGCTATATTTCAGAATATTTTTAGTCTGTGTATACGGAAATGGAAAAAGCTTTATCTATATAAGGGAGATACTGTCTTTTTTTCAGAAAACAAATCAGTAGAAGACATAAGGAAAATATACCTATTAGCTCTTAATTCCAAAGAGTCACTTATATTTCTCTTTTAAATACCAACCTGAGTATAAAAAATTAACACAAGTCTTGCCGTATGAATAAAGCATTCAAATGCCCGGCATTTGGTCATTCCATTATTTAATGAACATGTGTGTAAATGAATAACAACAATAACAACAGATGGCAAATCAAACACATTTACATTCTCTCTCTCTATTTTTTCTCTACTTCTTAAAATAAGAATAAGAAGATTCTTTTAAGCCCCATGAGAACAAAAACAATAAGAGGAATGACAGTGGCAACAAAATTACAGAAGTTAGAAAGCCAATGGACAGGTGGTAACTGAAAACAGATTTAAATAAGCTAAATCCTAGACCAGTCATGAATAAACCTTTTTTAGCTTTATTCGTGAACTCTCCAAAGGTTCAAGATTAAATACAGGAGAATCGTTTAAAGGTCTAAGAAACAAGCAGATCTCCAGATCCCCACCCCTGGTCCCTCATAGTCCCACCAATTTGCCCCGCTTTATCTCAGCAAGAGATTAGTAGTAGTTTATACTCTGGGGAAGGTAAACAGAGAGCATCTATAATAGGAGAAATCAAGCACAGTTGATGGTGGAGGGACAATGCTAAAGTAAAAGAAATGAGTGAATGTCAGTATAATGAATGTGGAGATCTTTAGCCCTCCTTCTGCCACCACCCTAGTCCCAGCCAAACTCATCTCTAATTCTAACAACCTCCTAACAGATCTTCCTACTTCTACTCTTGCCTACCCGCAAGTCTCATTTCCAAGGCAACTAGAGTCTCTTTTTAAAATTTAATTAATTATACATTATTCTTCTGCTTATCAATGGCTGCTTCAGAAAAAAAATCTAAACCCCTGTCTGTTGTCTTCAAAACTCTGCATGACTTAGCCCCTATCTTCCTGTCCACCCTAATATGGAAGCATTTTCTCCCTGGATCACTACGTTTTAGACATGCTGGTCTCTCTTATTCCTTGAACATGTCAAGTTTGTTTCCATATAAGGGCCCTTCCAACTGCCATTTTCCTTTCCAGAATCATTTTTTGCAAGGTTGCTTCTTCATCATTCCATCATTCAATTCTGGCTTCAAACGTCAGCTCCTCTAAAAAGGGCTTTCTTGACCATCCTATTCAAACTGACTGCTGTCTCCACTCAACATTGCTTCTTTCATAGCACTTATCACCCTCTGAAGTCATATGTATATATTTAATTATCTATTGTCTGTTTCTCCCTCTGCAAGTTTTAACACACACACACTTTCTCTGCCTCATTTTCCCCAGTAGCCTCAGCACCTATGTACTCAAGTCATATCTGTTCAACATGAGAAAAAGAAAAGCAGCACCTGTCATTGGGAACTGAGCTAACACCTTTACGCCTTCAGTGTTGTTAAGAACTAGCCACTGTGTGTCCTGTAAAACATAACAACCTGACAGAACACCGACATCAGACAAAGTCACTCTGTGATACTGATGAAGTAGACAACAGACAAGATCACTTCATAATCTTGCCTAAACAGACAAAAACGAAGTCACTTTGCAAACTATAAAAATACCAAACTTCCTCCTCTCCCAGGTAGTGAAACTGTTGCTTCTTTACCAATCAGATCTAGCCTTTCAATTTTTCTCCCTTCTTCTATATAAGCTGTACTATGATACCCAATCTTGGAATTACCCCCACATCCTGACAGCATCCCAAACAGAATGAATTTCCATTTCATTAAACCCTGTCCCGAAATCACCAAATATAAGCCTAAACTTTATAATAAGTCATTCCTAACACTGTTATTGAAATGCCCCATGATTCTCCAAGGTGTGTGTTCTCCCTCATTGCAATGAGTAATAAACCCAACTTTCTGACTACAGGTATATTCCCGGTGATCTTTCGGCCTGAGATTATTGACTAATGAATGCCCCTCATGTTACCAAAGAGATCTGTCTGCCTGCATGTATCTAAGTCCAATGAGATACATCCAGGTTTTGCAGCAAAGAAAGTAAAGGCTTATTTTAGAGAGTTGCAAGCCCAGGAGATGCAGATCTGGCCCCTGATGGCTTCTAGGGGACAGGTTAAAATAGGGGGAGACTCATTAGTCATGTAAACTAAGAGAGTTGGTGTCATGGGTGCTACCAATTGGTTGGGGCTGGGGAAACTGATTATCGTGTCTGGTTCTGGAGTCGGCCATGGTATCACCCAGTCTGGTCTCAGGGGAAGGTGGTCAGTGGAGCTGTTCTGCCTCCATAGGCCTGGGGCTGAAATGCACCTGAAGCTAAGATAGTTATCTTTAGTTTAACTGAAACTTATTGTTCTTGTGATCAATAGACCTGATGCATTATTCTTAAAAAGTTCTGTCCTAAGGCTTAATGAGTAAGGGAGTAATCATACTAAGGTGGATGGATAAGGGAGGAAAAAGAAAATGAGTCATAATGCTATTATATTAGGCAAAGCCTGCTTGAATCAGAAAAAAAAAAAGCTATATTAAATAAATGAAGTTTGTGTCACACTCACAACAGCTCACAATCCAAGAGGTGATTATAGTATACAATTTCTCCATTCGCCTTATCATAGTCCTTGTATCTAGGTGAACGATATATTCCTTCAACCAAAGATTATATGCTCTTTCCCCTAGGTCTGATTGACACTGTCACTGCCATTCCCACTCTATCTATTCTCTCATCTTCTTAAAATAGGAGCAGAAGAAAATGTAATTATGAGACTGAATTCTTAACAGAAGCTCTCCTTTCGCTAACACTGCCCTCCCGAAAGGAATTATGCTGGCTGGAAAATTACTGCCTGGCTATGGCCCATGGGAACATAGGCTATTGCCCATAGGAACATAGGCTATCACCCATGGGAACATAACATTCTAACAATAAGCTTTCTGCTTCTGCACACCTGACCTGTGGGTTGACAGGTAGTGAATAGGAGAAAAACAGACCTTTGTGTTTAAGACAGAATGAGGAATGGGATTTAGGGCTTAAAAACCCTGTACCTCTACATTTCGGGGCTGCTTAATTTGGGGTCTGCATACCCCTGGCAAACCCAGCTGGCTTAATAAAGAGCAGGTTTCCTATAACTCACTGATTTCTGGTGGTCCGTGTGTCTTTCGGGGGCTGGCGGCTACAACAGAATATCTCACAGTATTCCTATTTCTCTTAGCCAATGTTCCTTATTCATTTTTAAAGTGTTATTTACACTCGTCCTTCAGTCACATCTCTCTTTTGTTCTCGGTTTTGTGACTGAATTCATTTTACTGTTCAGGAATAGAAAGTTCTGCCTTTTCCCCCTCGCCCCCATCACAGGTGATAAATCTTTTTGCACAATTTTCAAGCCTTGCCCTCTCTCACGCAGCTTTCAACATTATTCCAACTATTCCTCTAGCCTAAATCCTGTGCTCCCATAGCATGCGTTTTCTTCCAAATCAATCCTCCTCCTATAATCCGCCCCAAACCAATCAGTTACACATACCCAATTAGAGTCCTGGGTCGAAATTTCACACCCAGTCCCCGGCTATATCCAAGTCCCCGCCCCATCGCACTCCTTTACCCAAACGCGCCTCCATTCCGCAGACCTAATCCGGCCGGCACTTCCACCTGCCCAGTCCAGTCCCCGATCCCGGCTGTCTTCACAGCCAGTAGCGTCTTCAGTCCAGACCCCATAACCAATCCTCGGCCCTATTCCGGTGCACCTACAGCCCTGCACCTTTCACCGCCTCCATGCCCACCCCAAGTCCGGTTTCACCCAGTCCGCGATCACGGCCGCGCCCCTCAGCCAATCCACGCTCTGAATCACCCTAGAGTGAGTCCCGCCCAGGCGTTGGCCCCACGTCCGAATCACTTAACCCCAGGCCCCTGATCCCAGGGGGGACTCGAGCTTGAGAGGCAGGGTTGTCGCTTTCGAGAGGTAAGTGGGCGGCGAGGCAGGGCACCCCAGTGCGGAGTGAAGGTTGCGGTGCGGACGTGCGGAGCAGTGCGGAGCGGTGCGGAGCGAGGCCGGGAAGGGGGGAGGTCAGCTGGCCTGCGGTTGCAGGAGCTGCGCGCCAGGCGTGGCTGGGAGGAAGAACCGGGGCTGGATTTGCTTCAAGACTCGGACTCGCCCTCCGGAGCCTAAGTCGCTCGCGCGGGGCTGGGCCTGGATCCCACCCTAGAGGACCGTGGGCGTGGCTGCAGTGCGTCTGCGCTGTAATTAACAGTTTTCTCTGGAAAGGGAATGGCACCGAGGTGCTTGGATTCTGAGATGTGATCCTTGGACCCTGGTCATCGATTGCCACTTTTGCTCTTGATTTTGCATTTCGGGTATTTTGAAAACAACGTGGGAAGGGGTAACACCGACTGCGGTTCATCCATAACCAGAATTTTTAATAAAAAATAAGACAAAGTATTAATCTGTCACGTGAATGAATCTTAGTGAATCTAAAGTTTTTAATCAAAAAAGAAAAGCAGTCCAACCTGTTGCTTTTGGAGTCCAAGCAGCTTTAGGAGTGCGAGCCCCGCACCCGGTACAAAAGTCATTCCTCCTGCGCCCCGGTGCGTGAGCTCCTCCGCTGCTATCGGAGGCTGGAAGTGGGGATGCTTCCTCACGACCACACCTGGCAACAACGGTACAGGTCAACCATTAGAAAATTTTTTTCACGTTGTGCCAAAACTCAATTCCTGGCAGCTCACACCAGTCAGCCATATTTCTTCCCTCGAGAATTTATAATCACACGAATCCCATTTTCACAGGACACCTTTTCAGCAATTTCAGGATCATGTCTCAAGTACTGTGCCGCCTAAATATAGCTAATTTTTTCCACTCTTGCTCCAATGGCATAGCTCTGAGACATACTGTTCCACTGTACTAAACCAGCCAGGACCTTGTTTACCGGCTACGTGTCCTCTGATATGTCACTGAACCTTATAAAGATTCCAGAAGTGAGCTAACAGGTAGAGCATGAAGTGCAAATAATCTTTCCTTTGGTCAGTCTCTTAGCACAAGCCTTTTTTATAGTCACCTCAGTTTAAATCTTCCTTGAGCTTGCAGTTAACTTGAATGTTCTGCATTTTGTGAAATTAACTCTTCCTACGTCTCATCCCTGTATGCAGAGTGGCTGTAAGTTGATCATTTAGATTTAAGTCCAGAGCTTCAAACTTCTCACACTTCTTTTTGATGGCCTTGCTTACATTTTAGCTCTGGATTCTGCCCCAACCGTTCACCAGCCTTCTTAGCTTCAGGTCACCCCCAAATCTGCCACACATGCCTTCTGTATCTTCATGTTAAACAGTCAGTTCCTATGATAATAGTTTAGTTTTCTTTGGTCATGCATATTTGAATGGGAATTTACCTTGTGTGTAATATGCCATAATCAAGTTTACTACATCACTCTGATTCACAATTGTTTTTAAAAGATAAACTAGAAAAAATATACGGTGAAAATATTGTTTAGAATTAAAAGCCAGATATCTTTTGATTTTCTCCAACTTTTCAATGACATCTAAATTTATTTATTTAGTTAGCTTATTGGTGAACACACCTATGAGATGTTACTTGCATTAGAAAAATGCTGCTTAGAATGTGTTTATATGAAGCGCAGGAAAAATATAGCTGCAGAAGTACTGAATCTGTATCTGTCAGCCTACTTAGATTTTTTTGGAGACATTTTTTCAGCAAAGCCTTCACAGTTACTTCCACAATGAGATTACCTAGTGAGAGAGTGATGAGTGAGAAGGAAAGAGAGCCCAGATCTGAATATTGAGGAATTCCATCATTTAATGGCAGGCTGGGGAAGAGGTAGAAGGAAAATAAGGGATTGTTGTATGTCAGAAGCCAAGGGAACATGGTGTTTCTGGGAGACCACTCGACCAGCAGTATCTAAAAGTACAGAGAGCTCAAGGAAAGTGAGAATTGCAAAATATGGGTTTAACAATATGAAGGTCAAAATTGACCTGAGCAAGAACTGCCTTTATGGAGTAATGGGTACAAAAGGCAGATCGTTATCAGTTTGCAGAGTATAGGTTGAGGAAAAGGAGACAGCTAATACAATGATATCCGTTTTAAAGTTTTGCTTTTGAGATCATCCTTGCCTCCGCTATTTTCAAGTGGCTTTAGCTCAGAATGATCCTTATACTTAGCAGCATATTTTGGGGTGGCATAGCTGCAGTCTTTCACCTATAAAATATAGTAGAAATGCTGGGAGGCTAACTTGAAACTGATGACCATGAGTTTGTGGTGAAACCAGTACTATCCTGTGTGACTTTCTCCAGCAGTTAACAGCTTCATGGGCCACAGAAAAAGAAGACACTGTAGTTGAGTTCATCCAGGGCTAGGGTTTTATAAACAGGTGAAAAGATAGACCCAGGTGGGGGCGGGAGGAATAGGATATCGTCAAGAACATTATCGAAGTGGTGGAACTGGCATCTAAAATAAAAGAAGGCGAGGGCTGATTGGGAAAAGGGGAGACAACCTCCTAGAGAACTTGATGTTACTGAAGAATAGTACTAGTTGGAATGATTAAGCGAATTGAAAGGATTGGTAGTTCATGGGCAAACAGAAAAATGCTTTAATTATTTTGGAGTTACACCAGATGAGATAATGGCAAAATGCAGGGTGCAGCTATAGGAGAGAATGACTAAGGAGGCATGAAAAAGAAGAGCGATGGACATGGGAATGTCAGTTGTCAGATGCATTATCTCTGAAAACGTTGAAATTACCTGGATTGATCACAGGATTTGGAACTGAGAAATGACAAAATCCTAATGTATGACAGGGAGTTATCAGCAGGTCAAGAGATAACATCTTGGAGGCGGATGAGGGAAGTAATAGCGTGACAGTAGTAAAATGGACAGCAAGCAAGAAGTAAGTGGGACGTGTAAGAACAAAAGCAAACACTGAGGAATACAGAAATGGTATTTTCAAGAAACAGTAAGGTGTGAGTTAAAGCAAGGAGGTACAGGGAATACTGAAAAACATAAAGATGTAACAAAATTTGCTAGTTATGCTGCAGCTATTCCTAAAGATACAGTGGAAAGTTTGGAAAGTGGAAGAAAAATGAAGAACTGGGTCAGTTGCCAGGCAGTACATTGCATTGTGGGGGTTATGTATTGTCCAAGAGAAGAGAAAGAGAAGATATGGAATTTAGACTTTGGGATTTCTGGATGAAAACAAGTGGATTTAGTGTCAACTCCTTTAAATATTGAGGCCTTGTGGCAAAGGACACGGTGTACCCATCCTGGGGTGAAATTTCCCAAGAGCTGCGATCTAAGCTCACACACATGATCAGCCGGTGACTAGTATCTCCTGAGATTACCTTCAGACTAGGGATTCATTAATTCATCTGTTTCAAAACATGGGGAAACCTAGGCTCAACAAGAGCTAGTGACTTATCTGAAGGTAGAAACCTTTTTTAAATATCAAGAACGAGGATTAGAGTCCAGGTATTCTGATTCCTAGTCCTGTATTTCCCCCAGTTTATCTCAAGAAAGTAGAAGAGATTTCTCTCATTTTTGTATTTGCAAGAAAGTATTTTGCTTATACTTTGCTTAATACCAAAGAAATGAAGTTGAATTTAATTAAATGGATGTTTATTCACTAAAATATATATATGCATATGTGTATACTCCTAAATCAAATAACTTCATATACTAAGTGAAGATCGTTCAGTATAGTGCCTGTCGTTTGGTAATTTTTCATAAAACTGTCCTTACTGCCTAACCCAGCTAATATTCCTGAACAGAACAACTAGTGACAGGAGAATAGACATGCCTTTATTTAAGAAAACCTAGTCTTTGACTTGAAAGATATAAAACATAAGAGATAATTATTTACTTTACAGAAGAATCAGTATTTCATAAAAGGACTCATTTGGCTACTGGAATCATTAATTTATCATGTGAATTTATGTATTCATTCACCATTTAACACTTTTATTTATCGAGTACCTACTATATGCCAGAGACTACAGTGGTGAACTAAACTATCAGGTCCCTGTTCATGGAGTCATAAACATTATAAATTTGTGAATGAGTGACGTCCCACACACACACACACACACACACACACACGCACGCACGCACGCACGCACACACACACACACATACAGCTTTGCAGAGAATTAAAATAGGCTGATGTGATGTGGAATGGCTAAGAGGCTGTCATTTAAGCTGAAATTTTATTAATACAGGATTTTTTAAAGTTTACTTTTTAAGAAACATCCAATATATTATTTTTCATATCTGAAGCTTTCTGTAACCTTAACATTTGGTAAGTTGAAGAGATTCAGAGCTAGCTTCAGGGGTCCCTTTGAATTCTTAGAATCTGTCTCTTTTAAAGTTTGATCAAAGATAAAGAAAATGCCGTCCCTTGATAACAACTTGTGCAGAGTAAAACCTGATGAAAGAGGTCTCTTTGCCTGAATGTTTTTAGAAAGCTGAGTTTTCTTCTACTTCTAAGTGGCAGTATAATAATAGAATTTCATATTGCTTTGATCTATGTACATTTACCCATGATTGATAATGATTTCCTTACAGAGAGAGAAGTAATTCAGAATGCATGCCTGTTATACAACTGGAATATCTTGAAATGGCTTGCTAGCTGACTATGGAATCATTGAGAGAAGTACCATCTGAGAAAATAACCTGAAAGTCACTCATATATTCTTTATATTTATCAAGGACCTGACATAATCCTTTTCAAACAACTTTCTAAATAACCTGTTTTTAACAACTTTAATTTACTGTTACATGTTGTGCTTTTACTAGTGACTGTTATCCACCAGTAAATTTTGAATAGATTTTATACTGATATATTCTGGATTTGATAGCTACTAGAAATGGAACTTTTACTTAATGCTCTTGACTAAGTTAGAGCTGTACTTTTTGAATTCTTAGTATCCTTACAGATCTTTAGTTTACAATGAAATATGTATAAATTTGTATAAGAGGACTTTCTTAGAATAATTAGAATGATTCTAGTTATAGGAGTTATAGCATAATAAGAAAAGAAAACTCAACTATCAAAACTTTTTATTTATATTTTATATAAGCTTGTGGTCTGTGTGCTAGCTATAACTGTCTTATAGTGACGTATCATGTATTCACGCTCTTAAAAATTTTTTATTTTATTCTGTAGCATGTTTTTGGCTCAGAGGAGACTCTTTCCTTGGCAGTAAAGGTAAATTCCTGAAGATGATTTATTCTTCAAAAATCTTCAGACTCTTCACTTCTGCTGTAGGTACTGCTTAATCACTTACAGATAAATTATTTTACGTATTCTGTGATATCAAAAAAAAAACAAATTTTAAGGTACTTTACAAATATTTTATTGGAATGAGTATTTCTGTTACATAAGCTAAGTCCTCTCATCAATGGCAAGAACTGACATTCACTGAGCAACTACTTGCCTGTCTGTGTATCTGGCATAGTACTGGGCATTGCGTAGTTATTATCTCATTTTATCTTTACAGAACTTTTCAAGTTATGAATTGTTACATTCCTGTCTTACAAAAGAAAGAGAAAGTGGAGACATAGATAGGTTTAGTAACTTGCTCAAGGTCATACACTTATAAGTGGCATAACCAAGATACCACACTCACCCCTGTCTAGCTCTGGCACTCTAAAGGGTAGGCTCTGCCTATTCAAAATAGGATATTATAGTGACTATAATTGCAGGCCCTGTGGCTTCAAGATTATAGAAAATATGGCGGATTGAGGACCAGATTATGTGACATCATGCAATAGCAAACAAATCTCTTCTTTGTTGCCACCATGACTATCATAACCCGGGATAGATAACTGACCCAGTTTCTTCAAGTCAGTGTCATGAGAAAAAAAGAAGAGATGTTTTGGAGGGACTGCTCGGGGATAAAAAGAGGCTTAAGAACCACAACCACCAAAACAATGTGTTGGCCTCGTTTAGAAAGTTAATTCAGTCAATTTTTAAAGACAATCAGAGAAATATGAATCTGTATTGGATATTAGGTGATACCGAGGAATTATTGTTAGGTGTGATAATGAGATCAAAGCCATATAAGAAAATGTCGATACTTTTTAGAGATATATGTCAAATATATAGGGATGAAATGAATCTAGGATTTGCTTTAAATTACTCAGCAATAAAGAATGAAAAGAGGGAAAGATGAAGCAAACGAGCCAAAATCTTGATAATTATTGAATTAGAGTAATGTGTATATGATCGTTTTATATTATGTTGAATCATATGAAATTCTCATAGTTGTAGGTCAAAAATGGGTAAATATTGGCAGTTTCATATTGTTCAACCTAATATTAATCTCAACATTTTTGTAAGTTTGATATTTTCATAAAAACCATCATCAACTTCTCCTTCTACACGTAAGTACTGTGATTTCTACCTCACAAAATGTCTTTAGTTCTGTCTCCTTTTTGTTACCACCACGACTACTTTAGGGTGACCAGATAAAACTGTGATACTAAATTAAGGCTGTGCGTGCAGAACTGTTATCCGCGGAGCCATTAGAATGTATATGCCCAAGAACCATCCTGAGAGAATCTGTAAATCTGTAGTGTATTCTGAATAATCTTTCCAGGTAATTCTAATATACATCCCAGGTAACACCCACTGGCAATGCTTTATTCAAGTTTATAGGTCACCTGGAATTTTTTTTTACGTTTCCTCAGAGCCTTTGAAGTTAAAATAGTCGCACAGATAAATACCTGTTCTTCTTGCTGTTGGGCAAATAGATAAAGCATACCATGAGTGTTATAAAGGGTAGTAGTCATAAGTTTAAATCAGGAAAGACCTATCAGAACCAGCCCTACTACTTACTGTAAACCTGTTTTCACTAGAAAATCTTTCTCATCCACACCATTCTTAATATCATTGAAAACTTAATGAGGAAGGGAATGTAATGAGGGTTGGGCTACCCTTTATCTGGATCATTTGCTTTTTTGGGAAAAAAAAATTATTTTTATTGCTTCTGTAATTTTTTTAAAGTAATATTTTAAATGTTAAGGAAAAAATTACTGCTATACAGCAAGAAAAGAACCAAGACAAACCCAGGATGAGAATTGCTATCTGTCCCCTGTTTTAGCACCTAGATCTTAAAGGCATAGAAACTGGGAGATAAAATTTATATTATCCTCTGGTGCCAGAAAGCCAAAGAATGAATTAGTAGACAAGATGGCAGAAACAAACTAATATAAAAAAGAAAGGAAGGAAGGAAGGAAGGAAGGAAGGAAGGAAGGAAGGAAGGAAGGTAGGAAGGAAGGAAGGAAGGAAAGAAGGAAGGAAGGAAGGAAGGAAGGAAGAAAGGAAGGAAGGAAGGAAGAGAAAGAAAGAAAAAGGAAAGGAGGGAGGGATGCAGGGAAGAAGGAAATAAGGAAAGAGAGGGAGGGAGGGAGGATTGTTCTAGAGAGGTCTCATGGAGCACCAACTCCTACTGCCTAATGAGTATCCCCCTTTGTTAGTCTAGTCTTCATTTAAGGTTTAGTCATTCAAATTGCTATTTGTAGCCCATTGGTTTTCTTCTCGCTCCCATTAATAATCTATTGTCTTCTTATCTTCAAAATAGCCTTCCTAAATAGGACTTCTGTGTGCTCAAACGGTGGATACATGTAACACGTTTGTCAAAATCCATAGAAAGTGGAGCACCAAGAGTGAAACCTAATGTAAACCGTGGACATCTAATAATGAAGTATCAGTGTTGGTTCATCAATTGTAATAACAAATGTTAACACTCTGATCGGAGATGTTGGCGGTGGTGGCTGTGTGTATGTGAGAACTCTGTACTTTGTTCTCAGTTTTGCTGTGAACCTAATACTGCTCTAAAAAAGTCTATTTTTTTTTTTAAAGAAATTCTAAAATATACATGCCCATCAGAGAAGCACAAAACATTTATTTTATAGCAAATAAGACAAAAACTTTCCCTGATCCTTCAGTCTGCCTTTCGCTAAAGAAATCACAGGCTGCTTTTTCACTGTGGAAATTTACTGTACATTTAGTCCATACCCAACCTCTCCTTATTGCTGTGGTGTAAAGTTACTTGTGCTATTTGTATCGAAGAGATTCCTTTCTACTTTCTGAGTCAGCGCAAGTTTTTGAGTATTTGGTAGGTAACAATAACTGTGCTTTTCTACTATAGATTCAGCTCATTTCATCACCATAGCAATTGCACGGGGTAGGCATTCCTTTTCCTTTTTAACAAATGAGGAAACAGTTTCAGAGAGGTCAAGTAACCTGCCTACTGTCACACAGTTAGTAGTTTTGATATTTAATTTGGAACTAAGATTGATCTGGCTTGAAAGCTCTTTGCATTAAACAACCTTGGAAATTTTCATTAGAATATAGGCATATATTACAAGGCACAGAACTTGGCTAGCCTGTGAAGGACTGTGTCTCCTGGGTATAAGTGCCCAGGAGATATTACCTGTCTCTCGGTCTCAAATCCATGAGACCCATTTCCATTAGTTATCCTGATTGGTTTAACCTGACTCTGTCACGGAGATGGAAAAGCAAATGTCTGGTAAATAAATATTTGCTGTGCTATCTTTAGCAATGGGATGCAGAGAGGACTTTGATCAAGGGGGCCTTGCTAAGTTCCTTCCCATCACACTTCATATTAAACTGTAGTTTTCTATGATGATATCTCCCTTCCTGGAACAGGTCCTCTGCATAAATTCTTTTAGGCATTTTGGGGAAAAGTCAAAGGTTTTTCCTGAGTCTTTTCTTAAAAATAATGAGAATCAGTATCCGAGAAGCATATTTTGGGGTGGCAAACTCTGCTTCCGCTTAACTCCATTTCCTAGTATTCCAGCTATGTGTTTACCTACTCTGTCAGCTCTCAGGGTTAGAGAAACCCTTGTTTCCAATAAACTTCTTTCTCTAAAGGTATTGCTGAAAGGTAATTTTCAGAAAAAGGCAAAGTCATGACTCATACAAATATAAAAATAAACATGTATTAAAGATTTTTATTTTATTCATATAGTGTGAGAGAACAAAGCAGACATTATATCCAGTTCAAAGGAAAAGTCAAAAAGCACAAATTTATGTGAAATAAAAGAGTTGAATTGCAGATGAAGGCAAAACCGATTTTTCACAGGTTGGAGGGAAGTCAGTCAAAACTCTAGAACCAGAGTTTGCATGCCTATCAATTATCTTCAATTTACAAAGGTGCAAAATATCTCAGACCAATTCTAGCCCTGCTAGAGTCAGACCTGTAAGGGTGTGCTATAGCCACTGCATAGGTTTTCATTAAAGTATACATTTTTTTCTACATTATCTATATATTCTCTCTCAAAGAGGATCCAGATTCTGTTTGCACTCATTTTGTCAACAAATATATCAAAGGGCTACAACATATCAGGCACAAGTAATTATAAAATAAAGCAACTAAATATATGTTGCTTAAAATTTCCAGTTAAATGTGTGTGCCTTTGAGTTCGTTATAATTGGATTTTCCCCTTGTATGTCTTAAGTCAACTGTCCCTACTTTGCGATTCCACTTCAGAGTTTTCAGTTCTTCCACCATTACAGGAACATTGTTATTTTTCTGTGCCATCTAGTGGCAAAAGAATGTAATTTGTCTGTTTGTGTGTTTTTTGTTTTTTAGTTTCTTTCTTTCTTTTCTTTTTTCTCCGAGCGTATAGTCATACCCTGGAAAACATCTAAAATCTGAGATAATTCTGTTAGCCTGCTTGCTTGAGGAGCATTTTGTCCAAAGGAAAAAGAGAACATGTTTCAGAATACCTTCACTACTTTTTTTAATACACTATTTTTAGGTTCATAGCACATTGGAGCAGGAACTACAGATTTCATATATACGCCCTGCCTGCCTCCATGCATGGCCTTCCCCATTATCAGTATCCTCTACCACAGTGGTACATTTGTTATAATCAGTAGACTTATATTGACACATCCTTGTCATCCAGTGTCCATAGTTTATATTAGGGTTCACTGTTGGTGTTGTACATTCTGTGGGTTTTGACAAATGTACATGGATATGAATCTCCTTTCTAGTATCATACAGAAATAGTTTCACTGCCCTAAAAATCCTCTTGTCTTCTACCTATTCATTCCTCCTCCCCAAGCCTGGGAAACCACTGATCTTTTTACTGTCTCCATGATTTTGCCTTTAAGCTTCCTCCCATGTCTTTTCTTTGCTCCATAGCTCATTTCTTTATAGCACTGAATAATATTCCATTGTCTGGATGTACCACAGTTTGTTTATCCATTTACTTACTAGAGAATATCTTCCA